GGAGCCGGCAGCCAGGGACTGGGCTGAGGTGGGGGGGTTAGGAGGCTGGGAAGTGGCCCAAGTGCCCAGAGGAGTCCCCTGGGGAAGCCCAGGGCACGTGCTTGCAAGTAGTGAGGTGGGTGGTCAGCGCCTCAGTTTCATGAACGATGACAAAGATGCTGGCCTGGCGGAGGCAGTGCACTGCGCTGTTGGCGCGGGAACACGTGGCCAGGGGCCCGCAGTGGGGGGCGGGGGGGCTCCCACAGGCCTCCAGGACCCTGCCCCTAGTCACCGGTCAGCTCCCGTGCTCCGAACGCCACCTTGTGGCCATCGGCGTTGGGGGGCAAGTAGCGGCCCTGCAGGGGCAGGGAGGCGGCTCCTGCCCATAGAGTGTGCCTGCAGGGGGACAGACCAGGGCCAAGGTCGTCCAGGGTGGGCAGAGCCCTTGACTACCATCTGGCCTCGCTGTTAAGGCCTCCTTAGCTATGGTCGAAGCCCTGCGCACAGATGTCGGGGACTGCCCAGGCCGATGGGCCGTGGTATGGGACCTCTCCCCTGGGCTTCTCTCAGGGGGCTGTTCCGGGTGCTCCCCGTGGGGTTCGGACCTGCTCTGCAGCAGACACTCACATGCTCCACCCTCGGAAGGCCATTCAGAGCCAGGCTCTCAGGAGACCCTCCTACCCCCTGGGCACCCCGCCGCAGACCTGAGCCTGGAAACCAAGAGCCTTCTCTTGGTGGAGTTCAGGGTCTGGGGAGATGGCAGAGCTCCAGTCATGCTCTGTCCAGCTGCAGACGTTGGGCAGACATTAGCCACCTGGATGGGGCCCCAAGTGGCACTGGACAGCTTCAGGGAAGCCTTGCTCCCTCCAGGGAAGTCTGGTCCTTCCAGGGAGGGCTGCAGGTGGACAAACCCAAGCACTCCCCAGAACTCAGCACCCACAGCCAGGCCTCTGCAGGGCAAAGCTGAGCTAGGTGCCCATACTGCCGACAGGACCTCTCAGTACCGGGAAGACCAACAGCCAGCCTCACGGGAGCCACTTCAGCGGCTCAAACAGTTTCTGAAGAAATTCTAACTCATCTCTTCAGGGGGATGCAAAAGAAATTACATCCATGCAGCAGGACTTGCTGTGTGAGAAGAACCAGTCTGAAAACACTGGGAATGGAATCTCAGAGTGGAGTCCAGTGGGTAGGCTGGGTGATGAGGTCAGGAGGTGGAGTTAGGGAACTGCCCCCCAGTGCAGAGCTAAAGGAAGGAGATGGGGACTGGGAGGGCCCCATGGGGAGGGTGGAGGCACAGGGGTGTCCGGTCTGCCCGCAGGACCTCCTCGGGAAGGTGGCGCACAGGTGGCCAGCCCCAGCCAGTGAGGGAGCACAGTTTCCCTGCCCTGAGCGGGGCATCTGCTGGTGGAAAGGATCCATAAAAGGCCCAGAAAGACAATGGCAAAACATACATCCTTGGCACCTCCCTGCCGGGGAAACTCTCACTTTCAAAGTGAAAGGAAACTCCCACTTTCAAAGCGAAAGAAAACTCCGGAAGTATCCAGACACACATACACAGGCACACACCCCTAAGTCAATATGCAAATGGGAAAAAAATCCTAGAAAAACTCCACATGCTCACCGCCAATACTACTGGATGCTAAGAGACCATAGATGGATTTTTTTTTTTAACTTTCCAAAAACAAAGTTTTTTAAGAGGAAAGAGAAAGGGTAATGTCTTTCAGAGATCGGAAGGAAAGCATAGTTTGATCCTGAACACTATATCCACCTAAACTATTAATGAGGACAAAATAAGGACATATTAAGATATGCAAGATCTTGGGCACCTGGGTGGCTCAGTTGGTTAAGCGACTGCCTTCGGCTCAGGTCATGATCCTGGAGTCCCTGGATCGAGTCCCGCATCGGGCTCCCTGCTCGGCAGGGAGTCTGCTTCTCCCTCTGGCCCTCCCCCCTCTCATGTGCTCTCTCTCAAATAAATAAATCAAATCTTTTTTAAAAAAAAAAAAGATATGCACGATCTCACTGTGCTTATTTAACTTAAAAGAAATGTCTCAAACCACAGCAACTTTCATTTGAAAAACAAGTTTACACCAGTTACAGTTGTAGATTACCTCTAATGGTAAAAGGCAAAATAAATGTGAAAGTCCAAGATATTGACTAGCCACTCAAGGAGATTACTAAACAGACAAAGAATCTGTGCAGGAAGGGGACAAGGGAGCATAAAGAGTACCAACACAGGGGAAAAAAATGAAAGTAAAAAAAAAAATTAAGGGGCACCTGAGTGGCTCAGTCGTTAAGTGTCTGCCTTCGGCTCAGCTCATGATCCCAGGGTCCTGGGATCGAGCCCCGCATCGGGCTCCCTGCTCGGTGGGAAGCCTGCTCCTCCCTCTCCCGCTCCCCCTGCTTGTGTCCCCTCTCTCGCTGTGTCTCTCTCTGTCAAATCAATCAGTCAATCAATATTAAGAGCCACTGGTCCTGTGGCGCCTGGCTGGCTCGGTCAGTAGACCCTGTGACTCCTGATCTCAGGGTCATGAGTTCAAGGTTCAAGCCCCACACTGGGCGTGGAGCCTATGTAAAGAAAAAGAAAAAAAAGAACCATTGGTCTTTGAACCCTCGCATAATTCTCTTTCGTGAAACACAGGTTTTTGTTGTTGTTGTTGTTGTTGTTGTTATTTTAAAGATTCCATTTATTTATTTGACAGAGACACAGCGAGACAGGGAACACAGGCAGGGGGAGTGGGAGAGGGAGAAGTAGGCTTCCCGCTGAGCAGGGAGCCCGATGCGGGGCTCGATCCCAGGACCCCGGGATCATGACCTGAGCCGAAGGCAGACGCTTAACAACTGAGCCACCCAGGCGCCCCATCGTGCAACACAGTTTTAATAACTAGGATTTCATTTCCTTGTTTCCTCTTTGGTTCAATGGTAAATGCTTTTCCATTATCATTATATATCCACCAAAGTATGGCCCAAGCGCGGAGCCTCAGGGTAATCACGGAATAGAAAATGACACCTGTCAACCTTGATGACATATGAAAATAATGCAACCGACCAAACTGTAAGGGAGAGGAGAAGGGGAGCCTGTTCTCCTCATCCTCCATAGAGCAAGTCGAGAGACAGTCTCCGAAGCTGTTAATGAAAAGCAAGTTCACGTGTGCCATCTGAACTCTCGCAGGCGCCGACTGGGAGAATCCAGAGCGTGTAGCTAACAAAACCCGCCAGGGGAGTGCGGGCGACGCCTCTCTTTCCGAAGAGCAGAAGTGAGAGCTGCTGAGTCCAAACCGGGAGGAAAGGGACCCCCTCTAAAGTTGGAGCGACCACCTGCAGGAAAAGAGCGGTGTGCGCAGCCTGGGGAGGGCCGGAAGTTGCGCCGCTGCCCGCCGGGGGTCACTGCCGCTGCCCGGCCCACCCCCAGTTTTGTGCATCCAGAGTCAGGAGTGCCTGGCTGGCCTGGGCTCTGCACGGCTCCTTCCTCCTGCCTGTCTACACGGCAAGCACTCAACCTGCCCTCCTTCCTCACCTGACGAGCTCATTTGCTCTGGTCCCCGTCCTCACCTGGCGGTCACTCTTCGACGGGCTCGGCGTCAGCTCCAGGCACTGCCCACACACACACTCGCCAGCAGAGCCTCCTCCTCAGCCTCTCCCTCTGCCCGTGCAACGCACCCCCCACGCCCCCATCGCCTCCTGAGGCGCTCAGCAGCCTCTCCCTCCCCCTGCCTGATAGGCGGAGGCTCACTCTGACCCCTCACCCCCCCACCCCCACCGTGGCTCCAGTGTTTGTCTGAAACATGCATAGGGGCGCCCGGGGGGCTCAGTCGTTATGCGTCTGCCTTCGGCTCGGGTCATGATCCCGGGGTCCTGGGATCGAGCCCCTCATCAGGCTCCCTGCTCGGTAGGGAGCCTGCTTCTCCCTCTCCCTCTGCCTGCCACTCTGCCTACTTGCACTCTCCCTCTCTCTGTCAAATAAATAAATAAAATCTCAAAAAAATGTTTAAAAAAATGAAACACACCCATGCTCAGAGTTGCAACATTTAGCAAATAAAAACAGTGCAGCAAGCCCTCTCCGGGCTGGGGCAGCTGCGGCGGGGGGATCCCCAGGACCGCGCCAGATACCTTACCTGCGGGATGAGTAATCCTCAAAGTGGCCACGAGATGGCGCCCCAACCCCATGCCTCAGACAAGGAGCCGGGTCTGCAGTCCCACCCTCCACCCTCACCGGGCTGTAATTAGCAAAACGGGGACCCCTGCTCGGGCCTGTCAGATCGTCGGGCCCTTCTGTTTTCCCCCTCCAGAGGAGGGACCAGAGCTAGCGAGCCCCTGGGGCCTCGTCCCCCAACCCTGACATAGGCTAGAGGGACAGCCCGCAGGCTCTGTGCCATGAGCCCTGTCTGAGCAAGAGTGTGGACTCACCTGGACGATGCGGATTCCGCCGTGAGCAGCCGCCAGGTGTCAGAGCAGACCCGCAGCACCATCCGGGACTCCTGCCACTCTCAGCCAGACCCCCATCCCATCCCAGGACCCTTCAGCTTCTGCTGAGGCACCTGCAGACAAAGGGGGTCCGGGCCATGCCTAGGGCACTGGCCCACCCCACCCTCCCCAAGCCGGGGTGCAGGTTCACAGGTGGGGCCTGAAGCTGCCAAGAGAAAGGCCAAACCCTGATGCGGGGGGCCAGCCGGCGGCACTGCTAGGTGGCTGGGCCCCAGAGTCCTGGAGAACGGTGCTGTCACCCCAAGGGGCAGTACGCACACCACGGCATGGCTCAGACGGGCTCCCAGCTCTGCAGGCCACATGCTGCCCCAGGACCCCACCATCACCTCCTGGACGTGCACCTCCAAGGCAGTCCCCAGTGCCCGGTCTGGCTCGGCCACATCCTGCCCGAAGGCCACACGCACCACCAGCCAGGCCACCCGCTCCCCCGCCCACGAGCTCGTCTTCTGCCTCCTGCAGGGCTCACTGCAGCGTGGCAGCTCCTCCTGCGGCCACCTGGGCCCCCTCCCAGCCCTGGAGACCGACTCCCACTCTGGCTGCTCCTCAGAGTCCTCTGCCTGGCCCCCAGCTCTGGAGATAGCCAGCCAGCCCTCCCACCCAGGCCTTCCGGGGTGGCCTGCAGCGCTCAGACCTCCTCTGGGGGCTGGGAGAGATGCGGGGTCAGGGGCCAAGCCCAGCCAGGGTACAGGATAAGTCAGGCAAAAGATGGAGAGAAGGCGAAGGGTACAGGGCCACAAAACAGGTGCAAGTGTAGGGCAGGGTAGAAGGCGAGGTCAAGAAAGGGCCACAGGATGTGCTGGGGTCCCCAGGGAGTCTCACCTTCTCCTGGTCACTGCCTGTGCGGTCTGGGGGCTGCAGGGTGTGTGGGGGACCTGTTCCAGAGACCCTGTGGCCATCTCCCTGGGCCCACTGGGCCTGGAGACCCCATGGGCTCCGGCTCACCAGCCCCCTGTCCCAGTGACCCCATGAGCCCCAAGCTGACTGGCTCAGCCTGTCCAAGAGACCCAAGGGGACCCGTCCCCAGGGAGGCTCCTGTCTGCCCTGGTTCCTCTTCAGAGCCTCCTCAGTGTCACCAGCCCTGCACGCTTCAATGCCCTCACTGGCCCTCCAGCCTCCAGAAGAGCATGCTCGGTGGTCCCTGGCCCCAACTTGACCAGGTAGTCCCCTCCACCGGTGTTCTTGGCAAGCTGCTCAGGCTCCAGGACGTCATAGTGGGGGACCAGGCTCAGCTCTGAGCACTGCCCCTGGGACTCCTGCTGTAGGACTCACTCGGCCACTTGGAGGAAAGGAAAGGACAGAAGGCCCGTCAGGGCTCTGAGGGGTAGGGAGGGGTAGGCCACCAAGTCTATCTCACTCCCCTCACCCTGCCGCTCCTGGAAGGATGCAACTGTGCCCAGGTGCCCAGGCAGGCTGCAAAGGCCCCCCAGGGGTCCCCTGCCACCGCGGGGCTCAGTCTCCAGGTACAGGTCCTGCAGCAGCAGGCCCTCAGGGGGGATACCCCCCACCACACGCACAGCTCGGTCCTGGGACACCTCAGTCCCCTCCAGGCCCAGGGCCCAGGCCTGTTCCTCCAGGACTCAGGCTTCTGTGGGGGACGGTGCAGTTCGGCTCCGAGCGTCCCCCCAACAGGCACGTCTGCCCCAATCCTGCATCTTACCTGCCTCAGAAAGGGGCTGGGGCAGCTGGGCAGGGACTGTCAAGGGCACAGCGGGGCTGCGCTGGGTGCCCCGTGGCTCGCAGCAGGGTCTGGCTGTGCTGCTCTAGCTGCTGGGGGGGCGGTGTTGGGGGCGGTCCTGGGAGCAGCAGGCTTGCAGGGGCACATGGTGGGGCTGGCCTAAGGCTCAGCCAGCGCCGGAGAGCATGTGCCCCTCCTAGGCCGAGACCCTCCCTGCACCTGTGGGCAGGGGTGGAGTGGGGCGTCGGGGCCCACAGCCAGCAGAGGGCCCTCAGGCCGCCCCTTCCACCAGCCCCCTCACCTGCAGACTTCTGAAAAGTGAGTGTGCCCCCTCCGCCAAGCTCTGCCAGCTCAACACTGGTCCTCCCCCAGAGCGACGGCGGTCCTCGAAGCAGGGCATGAGCAGCCCCTTCGGGATGGCAGGGGGCAGCCCACTGAGCACCACTGCTGCCCCCCCCACCCCCACCTCGGCCATGGCAACCCTGAGGCCTATATGGGTGGGGAGGGTAGTGGCACCATGATCCCCCCATCACGGTGGGGGAGGGACACATCCAGAACTTACACTCTGCAGGCCCTGAGCTGCCCCAGCCCCTACCTTCAGCCAGGACCCCTGAGCCTGCTCTGCAGCCAGAAGGCCTGGGACAGGAAAACCCAAGTGATACTGTGGGGCCTGCAGAGCTGGGGCTAGGGGACCACTTCTTCGATGCTTTCCTTCCTTCAGGCAGGCCCCTCCTGCAGAATCTTCCACCCCAGCCCCAGCCCCTGAGCCTGCAAAGAGCCCCTAGCTGACCGGGAGGTGCTGGCCAGGGCTGACCCCTCAGTGCAGCCTACCAGCCCCAGCTCACAGGCCGTGAGGGTGTGGAGAGAGGCCCCTCGTGGTCCTCTACTCCCACTGGCCTCTCCCTGGGAACCTCAAAATGGCCAATCACCCTCCCTACTAAATCCACCAGGGGTCTTGAGTCCTGGCCCCCCACTCAGGAACCTCAAAATTCTGTCACTTTCCCCGGAGCCTGCTCCTGGCTGAGGTTGGCAGTCATCTCTTGCCTGAAGTCTTCCCAAACCCTTAGCAGGTGACCACATCTCATGCTGCCTGCGTGCCGAGGGGAGCAGCTCCTGCCCTGGACCACCCCGCCCAGCACAGCCATCCTCTGCTCTCTGGTCTGCGCTCCCGCCAGTCTTCCCGCCCGATACCGTCGTCGCTGTCATCATAACCAGCCCTGCAGGTGGAGACACTTTGCTGCAGCAGGGGAAACGGAGGCACAGACAGGGCCCAAGGCGGTGCCCGGCCTCCCCAGGCTGCGCCTTTCGAATCCACCTTAGAATGCACCTGCGCTCCTGCTACCGACTGCCCCTCCCCCTGCTCATCCGCTTTCAGCCTCTCAGAGGGGCCCCCACTGCTGCTGTCCATCTCCCACCTCTCACCCACCCCTCAGCCCGCCCCTGCTCCTCCTCCGGGGGACTGAGGACCTGTCCAGCCTGCACCTCAAGCTGCACACTCAGCACCCTGCCCTGAGCCTCCATCATCTCTTTCCTGGATCACTGCAGTAACTTCTTGTCTTAATCTCCCTCGGCCACTCCCACCCCACCCCACTGTCCATCCTCAACAGAGAGGGCAGGGTGAGCCTTGTGAAGTGGCAGCCACAGCTTGGGCCATGGGAAAAGCCAGAGTCACTCACACGAAAAGCCGAAGTCCTTTGGGGGCCCTGCCAGGCTCGGCCTAGCCAGGCCCCAATCCCCTCTCTGTCCCCATCCTCCCCCTGCTCAACCACCTCCAGCCTCCCCACCTCAGCGCCCAAGCAGTGGCCCTTCCCTCTGCCAGGATGGGCCTCTCCCACAGAGCCAGCCAGCTACCACCCCCCATGACTCCCCTCACCACCCTCTTCTTGGTAGATTTAACTTCAACCTAAGTCCCTAACGACCAAGGCCCTGACCTCAACTTCATAGTTGTCATTTTTAATTATTTTTCTCAAAGTGAGCCCCTTAAGTTGCATGAGCTTCTGGTTCTACAAACCTGAATCCATCCCTGCCTGCCCTGTATCTTCTCTTCTTGTAGAACGGATCACCTTCCAGCACACCGTATAATTTACATGTTACATCAAACCCTGCTGTACAGGGCCAGCCATAGGCAAGCAGTACTCGGGAGCAGATCATACCATGACAGGTGGCTAAGTTTTCAGGAATTTTTGTGAACCAGCTGTTAAACTCGTGGTAGCTTGGAACCAGCTGTGACGGGTGTGTTTGTAACACCAACATGTGCAAGAGTGAGAGCTCAGAGCTTCCCCTACTAGTCCCCGGTCTGACACGGCGAACCAACACGCCATGGGCACAGGACAGAGCATTTTCCCAATGACTGCGGGTCTGGGCAAGGCCAACCCTCCAAGAACGGGCCCCCGGGCACTGCTACAGAACATCCCAGCCGTGGCAGTCAGCCGTCCTCAGGAGCACGGCTGGAGCCAGGGGAAGAAGCCGACTTGATCTCCAGTCCTGGCAATGAAACAGGGCTAAGAACGCCACCTTTAAAGCTGTGAAGATGTGGTGAAGACAGGAAGGTTAAAAGGTCTAGTTTGGTCTCGATGACCGCTAGAGAGGATGGGGCAATTAAAGGATCAGGCCTCTTGATTTGGGATAGACTCGGATGAAAGGGCGAGAGAAAAGGGAAAGTGGTGTTTTAAGACCATGGAGGCATAGAGGGTCCTTGGCAGCTTCAGCACATCCCAGATTTAGGAACTCCCTGAACCAAATTAGCCAGGCCGGGCCTCTGCCTCTAGGATCTTCAGCCCCCACGGCCCAAGCCGACACTTCGGCGGACAGTGCGGGACGCAGGGTGCAGGCCTGGGACTCGGAAAGGAGCCAGCAAGGCGGCCACAGCGGGTAGGACCCAACCGCAAGAATCCCGGAGTTCCCGGTAGAGCCCGGCCCCACAGCCGCGCTCCTACTCCATCCGGCCCCGCCCCGGCCCCGCCCCGGCCCCGCCCCGCCCCCAGGCCCCGCCCCGCCCCCAGGCCCCGCGGCGTCTCCCTAGCCGCAGGCCCCGCCCCTGCCCCGCCCACCCCGCGCCCCTGCCCCGCCCCCAGGCCCCGCCCCGTCACAAGGCCCCGCAGCGTCTCCGGAGCCGCAGGCGCAGGCCCAGCCGAGCCGGCCGCCGAGCGGGTGCGGGCGTGGGTGCGGGCGCGGGTGCGGGCGCAGCGGCCATCGACCGCGTGGTCGCGCACCGGACACCGTGCGCACCGTTCCGGAGGCGCCCCGCGAGTGGTGAGTCCCTGGCCCGAGCGCAGCAGCGTATCTACCCGCTCGGCCGCTGGGCCGGCCGCCCCCGCGCGGGCCCTGCGCAGACCAGCGGCGTCGCGGTGGGCCAGTCGGTAGGTCCCGCCGGGGCGCACTGCCCGCTCCGCCCGCTCCGCCCGCTCGGGCCGGGCGCGGCGGCGGGCGGCTAGCGGCCGGCCGGTGGGCCGGCGAGGGGCGGGGGCGGCAGCGACCCGTGTCCCGAGCGCCCCCCGACCGGGCAGCGGGGCCCATCCGCCCTCGGTGCGGGTCCGTGGCCGCCGCCCCCACCCGCCTCTCTGTCTCGCTTGCTTTGTTCCCCCGCACGCCCTCTGGTCGCTTCCATCCCCCACACACCCCCGCACCCCGCTGTTCCTGGCGTACCCTCCAGGCAGGCACTCCGACAGCCGATCCAGGCCTGCTGCCCCCCACCTTGGGAGCGAGGGGCAGTCGGGCCTGCTTTTGGACAAGGGTCAGGGCTCTCGCTGCTCACAGATGGCCTGGGGATTTCCTGGGATAGAAATAGCCGCCGGCTCTGGCCCCTTAAAGCTGCTTAAGGGGAGGGTGGCTAAGGGGAGGGTCCGGGCACACCCCCACACCTCCCTGACCGCGCCCCCAGCCCCGATCCGGGCTGAGCTCTGACCCGGGAGACGCCAGCGGCGGTCATGAACCTCCCCCAGTTGCACCTAAGAAACAACCGAAACCAAAAAATCCCGAAGCTGACGAAGTCATCGCTTTGCCTGTCCCCTCCTCCACTTTTGGGGTCGTCTTAGAACGGCTCCTTCCGAAGCCCCAGGCCCAGCTAACGGGTCCCCACTGGCTCTCCTGGTCCTTCTGCTCTAGGGTTGCCAATGGCCCTGGGGGCAAAAGTCATGAATGCCCCCCCCCCCCTTTGTGTCCTGGTTCCCTGCAGCAGGTGGGGCAGGGCCGCGGTGGCTGGTTCCGGGGACTTGTCACTGCAGAGCTGACTTCTCTCTCTCTCCTCTAGGGGGAGACCACAGAATCTGAGGCCATGCCCCATGAAAAGAGTTTCTTGGTGTCTGGAGACAGCTATCCTCCCCCCAACCCTGGATATCCTGGGGGACCCCAGCCCTCCATGCCTCCCTACCCTGGAGCCCCTTACCCACAAGCCCCCTTCCAGCCTTCTCCATATGGCCAGCCAGGGTACCCCCAGGGCCCCAGCTCCTACCCCCAAGGGGGCTACCCTCAGGGCCCCTACCCCCAAGGAGGCTACCCTCAGGGTCCCTACCCTCAAGGGGGCTACCCTCAGGGGCCGTATCCGCAGAGCCCCTTTCCCCCCAACCCCTATGGACAACCACAGGCCTTCCCAGCACAGGACCCTGACTGTGAGTAGTAGAGGGGAAGCAGCCGGTGGGGGGTGAGGGGCTCAAGGGGCTCCAGACGCCTTGCCATGGTGCTGACCCAGCCCGTTCTGCTCCTCAGCACCTCAGCATGGAAACTACCATGAAGAGGGCCCCCCGTCCTACTACGACAACCAGGACTTCCCTGCCACCAACTGGGATGACAAGAGCATCCGCCAGGCCTTCATCCGGAAGGTGGGCGAAAGAGACTGGGGGAGTGGGGCAGGGGTCCCGCTGGGCAGGGCTCTGAGCTGGCTCCCGCCCTAGGTGTTCCTGGTGCTGACCCTGCAGCTGTCCGTGACGCTGTCCACTGTGGCCGTGTTCACCTTTGTTGGCGAGGTGAAGGGCTTCGTCCGGGAGAACGTGTGGACGTACTATGTGTCCTATGCTGTCTTCTTCATCTCCCTCATTGTCCTCAGCTGCTGTGGAGACTTCCGGCGAAAGCATCCCTGGAACCTCGTTGCCCTGGTAACCCCAGCCCCTGGGCCCCGCAGCCCTCCCTCCTCCCCCCCCCACGCTACCACACTTTGTAGCCACAGGAGGAGGGGGTGGGGTGGGGGCAGGGGTGGGCAGCGGCTCCCACACACGAGGCTCCGTGTCCCCACAGTCGATCCTGACCGTCAGCCTGTCCTACATGGTGGGCATGATTGCCAGCTTCTACAACACTGAGGCGGTCATCATGGCTGTGGGCATCACGACGACGGTCTGCTTCACGGTGGTCATCTTCTCTATGCAGGTGAGGGCCCCTGAAGGCGGGGCTGCTGGCCCCCAGGGCCCAGACGCCTGCGGGGGCCTGGCACCCAGGGCCTCCTGTCCCCCCTGTGCCCACAGACCCGCTACGACTTCACCTCGTGCATGGGCGTGCTGCTGGTGAGCCTGGTGGT